CTTCCTGATGTCCCATCTCAATCTCCCTCTTTGTTCCTTGGCCTGCCTCTTCTTCCTCCTCACCAGCCAGTACGGGCAAACAAAGGGAGCGAACGGAGCACGCAGATCCGCCTCGCCACCAAACCTGCCCAGCATTCCCTTGAAGGAAACAGCGAAAGAGAACAGGAAAAGGCAACTTGCTTCGGAGAAAATTCAAAACTAACGAGCGTTACTGGAAGAGGCGCACTCAGAAATCTGCTGCAGGGGAACGCTGGAGGGAAAGGAACGCTGGAGCCCCTCTCTACGGTGAGATGTTCAGACCCGGAGTTACAGGACACCGGGAAGGGATTTGCTATGGAGACGCTGGCCTTGGTGAGGTCGCCGAAGCCGCCGTCCCGCCGCGGCAAGGGAAGCACGAACCCCCTGCCTCTGGCGCGCACCAGCACTGGGCCCCTCTGCTCTACGCCGCGTGATTTCCAGGAGCGTCCTCACAATTCATCCCCCGCTCGCTGCCCCGAGAGAAAGAGCCAGCCCTGATCCAACGGCATCCCAAACTGCGTGTTCAGCAAAAGGCAGCTTAGCACCGAAACACGCTGCTACGGCCACCTCGGGGCAGCTGGAAGTAAATCAACGGCTGACACCCTCCCCCAGGCAAACTATTAAACACAGAGCCTTATTAATTTCGTTTATTAGTGTGAACCTGTCAATCAACCCACATCCATGTTCCAAATCCAACCAGCTCTCTCCAGGTACCCGTTACCATGGCAACTAAGCGATGACGACAGAAACTGGCTTGAAACAGAAAGTTGTGGGCTGGGGGACAACACTGACAATTAGAAATATCCAAAGTTTTCCCAGGAGCATCAGATTTTGGTGGTGTTCTTTAAAAAAACACACCCCCTTATTTTCCTTTGGCCCAGACACAAGGCAACCCGCCCGGCAGCACCCGTGGCTCCCTGAACCCTGACCAAGGGCACATCACGCTCGCAGTGTAAACACATTAGTGCCTGACATAACCTTAATGACAGCCACGTTTATAATTAAGGCTCCGGCTCCGTCAAGAAACGCGACGCGGCCCTCGGCTGGTGTTAACACCCGGGTCTGCTGGGGCGAGCGAGAAGAGGAAGGTGACTCACGGCCACCTCAAGCCACATTACAAGGCTGCTGACTCCCAGTAACACCCTCCCAGGAACCACCCTGGGATGCCGGCGCGTCGTCCCGGTGTTTATGTCCAAAGCAACAAGCGTGACGCAGAGCTGGCACTCGGCATCAAAGCACGAGCCTTCCAGCCCGGTGTCCTGCCGACAGCAGCGCGGCCAGCCCTCGAACGCCGGGCTGCCCACGCTTCCACTCGCTCAGGCCCCAGTGAGCGCGACGGACAACAGCTCTGCAGCCGGCATTCAGGCTGGCGGAAGCGAAGGAATGCGTGGAGTTTCTGGGTCAGTCGGGCTGCTCCCAGCGCACGCTATTCCCACTCGTGTGTAAACACGCAGAAGTCAAAGCCCAGCCCGAGTCAGGACAGGCTGAAAAAGCACCGGCCCCTCTTCCCTGGGCTGGCCTGCAGGTGCCAGGACCCCCCGGCCCCTTCAGCAGCCTGGCACCCCGGAGTTACAGGTGGCTGACCCACCCTAGGAAGGACCCTGCCCCGAGGGGTCACCCCAGGGGGCTCGACAGGTCCCTGAGGGGCACGGGAGTTCCCTGCCAGATCCTCACCCTGTGGGGCAACAGGGTTCCCCCACCCCTATGGGGCACAGAGCCCCCATTCCCTAGGCCGGCACAGAGGTCAACCCCATCCTTCTCCCTGACCTCCGGGGGGGCCCAGAGCCCCCCCCCAG